AGAGTAAACTAAAATCAGTTTGAGTTCACACTCGCTGATATTCTTATAGAATTGGTAACAGATGAAGGAATAATCAAAAGTATAGGCGTTCCTATTAATCTAACCTAGTCTATACCATCTTTTTCTAGGCCCAAGTGGAAGGGCAAAGCAAAGAAAAAGGATGGTAATAAGACTAGGCTAGCACAAAACATTGGTATCCAAAAGGTTAAAGGGAATAAGGCAGTGTATGTTGAGGGCGAAGGAAACTGTTTCTTTTGCCGCAAACTAAGACACTAAAGGACGAACTATCTAAGCAATGACGTGGCATAGGAAAATGTATATTTAATCATTGAGCCATGTTAAGTGGTTGTATCTATTAATTCCTGATGGATAGATTCTGGAGCTACTAAACATGTTTGCAATTCATTGCAAGGATTTCAGGAATCCAGAAGCCTCGATGATATGAATATATATTTGTCTTTTGACCTGATGCCAAGGTTGTAACTAAGTCAGTGGGAGTATTACATCTGAAATTAAAGAGTATGAGGATATTAGTATTAGAGAACTATCTTTATGCACAAATGTTAGACGCAATCTAATTCTTGTTTCACTTTTGGTTTATAAAAACTATGTTGTTATTTTGTAAAACTGGTTTTATAAAATTGATTAGATGTGCGATTGCTTCTGGTGCATTGAAAGATGGTCAATATACTATAGCCACAAGTTTTTAATATTTGCAGGATGTAGAAACTAATGTTGCATCTTCTAGATTGAATGTTAAGAGAAAATTTGTTATTCCTGACTCATTGTATTTTTAGTGTCTATTTTTGGGTTGTAATCAGTCAAAATGAGATTCAAAGATTGGTCAAAAAAGGTTTATTATCTAGTGAGGCAGAGGAGCCTAAACCAAACTTGTGAATCCTGTTTTGAAGGATAGATAACTCTAAGAGCTTAATCAGCCAAATGAAATAGACATAAAGAACAATTGGAGTCGGTATACACTAATATGTGTGGTCTTATGAACATCCAAGCAAGATTACTTACGTTTTGGATAAATTTACCTAAGGCGACACAAGTCTTAAACTTTTGGTATATTCCGAATGTGTCGAGACTAATGTGGAACACATATTAGGTAAACTTATCAAAACACTTCGATCTAATCGTGGATATGAGTATTTCTTGGGATAGTGCAAAGACTATATGGTCAATGAGGGTGTTGTGTACCAGTTTTTCCGCAATTGACGCTAAATGGATTTAGGTGTCAAGAAGGAATAACAGAATTCCGCTTAACATGGTTACATCTATAATCAGTTATGCCACATTATCTCTTTCATTTAAGAGTTTAGCGTTAATGATATCGATGCGTATTATGAACTGCATTCCATCTTAGTCTATCTCAAGGATATCTTTTAAGCTGTGTTTTTGACTAAATCTTAGTTTGAATCACATGCACATATAGGGTAGTCTTGCACATGTGCGCTTGATATGGACAAATAAGTTGAAAACAGATCATATGTATGATAGATTTGATAGCTACTCTAAAGGCACTTGGATGGATTATTTTATGATCTCAATGGTAAAAGTTGATTGTTTCACTCACTGTTTATCTATAGGAGGATCATATTATGAATCACATACCTAGTAGCATAATGTTAGAGAATATGGTATGAGTACCAGATGTACCACATGTGAACACACTTATTATAGAGATTGAGAATAATATATGAATTCCCTATTGATGCGTCAGCATCATCTAGTACACAGATTCCTGTATCGGTACATTGTTGTAGTGGGAGGATTAAAATCCAATCTGACATAATCATGTTTTTAGATGACACCTTTATGGACATCCCTGTTAAACATGAGTTGGTCCCAGTAAGCTACACGGAAGCGTGAACCGATATGGATACAGATCGTTTTGGCGAGTTGCTATGAAATCAGAGTTGGAATCTATGTATTTTAATAAAATCTGGGATCTTGTAGAACTTTCTAGTAGGGTGATACCTATGGAAGGCAAGTTAATCTACAAAAGGATACCAGAAGATTTCTTAGTGAATAAATCATAAGTGTACAAGGGAATGTCATTATTTTTTGTAATTCTATATATATTGTTGACATCCTACTCATTTATAATGACGTGGAAGCTTTGTCATCAGTAAAGAGGTAGTTGTTTAATTAATTTGAAATGGTGGATTTTCAAGGTGTAAGCTATATTCCTAGGATTAAGCTTTTGCAAGATCGGGTTAAAAGGAAAATAGGGTTATCTTAATAATTCTACATTGATAAAGTTTAAACCAGGTTTGGTATGCATAACTCAAAGAATGAGTTCTTGCTTTATTGATATGGGTTGCTCTCTCTAGTAAGTAGTTTTCGAAGACTAGCAGAGGAGATTGAACAAATGAGACTGAAACTATATGTTTTGGCATATGGGAGTCTCATATATGCTATGGTCTATACCAAACAGGATATCTGCTAAATTATAGGAATAGTCAGAAGATATCAGTCCAATCTTGGACTTGATAATTGGTCTGTTGTGAAAAATATCATTAAGTACTTTAGGAGAACCAATGATCTCATACTCATTTATGGATGTGATGATATAGTCCTAGTCAGGTATGCTAGTTCTAATTTTTAATCAAAAGTAGATACTATGAGGTTCATGACTTAGTGTATGTTCACTCAATGGAAGGGAAATCAGTTAGTAGATTGTTAAGCAGATTTCAACTGCTGACTCAAACCTGCAGGTGGAGTACATTGCAGCCTTAAAGGCGGCAAAGGAAGCCTTTTGGTTTGATCTCACTGATTTAGAGGTTGTGGAGCATACTAGCCTGCCTATCGAGCTATATTGCGACAATAGTGCAGAAGTAGTCCAAACCAATGACCCAAGGTTCCATAGAGGAACAAGGTACACTGAGAGGAAAGTATCATGTCCTACATGATATTGTCCGGTAAGAAAATATGCTCATGACTAGAACATTGTATTGGAACACAACTTTGTTGATCCATTAACAGATGTGTTATCGATCAATAGTTTTGATCGTCATCTGGATAACATTGGAGTTAGATGCAATTTGAATTGGCTATAAGGTCAAGTGGGAGCTGTTGGGATTTATATGCCCTAGCATAGCAAATTCTTATTTGGATCATAGTGACATATATTCCTGACGTTTCTAAAATATTTATGCTTGATACAATTAGTGAATTCAATGTATTATGTTTCGATTCATTATAAAATTGATAGTGTCCACTTGATTACAAGAGATATTTATATATGTATGTGATGGCGATCAATACATGAATATAAATAGTAATCATAAATTATTCATAGTCGGTAATTATGGATGGACTCATAATTAATTAAGACTTGAACTGGATCCGCGTTAGGTTGAGATATATTGCGAGAGCCGTCGTATGCAATTACTCCCTATCATTGTCATGGCATTTGACTCTTAAGCATGAGAAAGGTATAGACTCTTTTATTAATTAATAATTACTTTGATTTGTTCGACGGATACTTCGGGATCCTTAGACTGACACTTTGGGTAGTTATGTAATTAATAGTTAGAGGGTTATATTTTCAATATTTGCATCATTACTACTTGTATTTATTTTGTATTGATTATGGTTGATCACAAAGTAAATTCGAAGGCCTTCGTGTGTTTTTAGACAAAATAATTTATTATATATTTATTTATTTAAATTATTATTTTTGTCAAACAAATGTTTTTATTGTGATCGAGTCAGAAATAATCAAAAGTACCAAAATAAATATATATTAATTAAGTAGTCGGATTGATGGCTTTATTTATCCGATAACCAATTACGCATAGAGGGGTCAAAGTGCAACATTGACTTAGAGGTTATTTATTATTTAATTGGAGTTCAATTAATTTCTTTTAGTGGAGTAGAAATTAATTTATAAATTAATTGAATTGGGTCCATGGATCGGGCCAATTATTAATTCATTTTAGCCAATAAAATAATAAGCCCAAAGGATTCTCACTCATAGCCCAATTTGATATTGGAATCCTATTAGATTTGAGATATGTGAATTAGAGATGGAGAATGATTTATTATTTCCTTTTTTATTTTTATGTTGCCTATATATACATGGGTTTATGTATATTTTGGAGGTGATTTTTGGAAGAAGGAAAAATGAATATATTTTCTCTCTCTAGAAAATTAGGGTTTATGTTCTCATCTAATGGAGGCTCCCACAAGCCTAGTTTTCCAAGGTCATTCATGGAGGCTTATAAGTGATTCCTAAAGGTAAAACAATTACCAAGAAGATGGAGATCTAAGGAGAAGGCATCTTGCTAAGGGATCTACAATAAGTGAGAACATTCACTTTAAAGGAAAGATTTAAAGGTTTACTCAGACCTTTGATATAAGTATTCAATCTATCAATTGAATGATACATCATATTTTATTTTTGTATAAAACTTGTCTCTATGTGATGAATCAAGATCTATGAATCAAAATCCCTCGAAAAGTTTTTAAAACTTGCACGTTTCCCAACACTATACTCATTCATGCATGAGTTCAACAAACAACAATAGAATAATATATAAGAAATATATCTAACTCAGCTGCGCATGAAGTGATGTCATGCTTTATCTTGAGCCACATTCAAGCAATCTGAACCATTGAAGAATTATGCATTGAGTTTGCTTTTATTTAATACCTTTCTCATTTGTTTTGAACTTAATTGATAATTTAATTATTGGATGATGACTCATTACCAAATAAAAGAGGAAAATCATGAGAGCAAATTTTCTCTCTTCTGTTTATTTCGCAAAAACAAAACTAAGGCATGTTTGGAATCGAATTTTTTTTTTTTTTTCAATTCTGATTCCAAAGCCCCATTCGATACACCCAAATGTAAGTATTGGCATTATTTACATGCTTAAAAGATCTAAATATCCTTTTAATACTTACACTACTATGGTGGATGAAAAATCAAGAAAAATTTCCAGTAACGTAAATGAATCAAAAGAAAGAAAATAATAAAATACCCGAAATTTGTTCAAAAATATCCCCAGTAAATTTTCTTAAAGATGCAACATTAAAGTTATGTTTGGGTATGAGCTTTTCTTTTAGTATATCAAAGGTACATGCTCAACCAATATACATATTACATTGCATATACATAATATAGAAAAATTAACCTCACTAGTGGCAATTGGAATTTGTTGTTTATTTCTTTTCCTCTTTCTTTTCTTCTTTTTTCTCTTCTTTCTTTTCTTCTTTGGCTGGTCCAACTGAAATTATATCAACCTTTCCAACTTTCTTTAATCTTTTCACCACTGCTACTGTGTCCATCTCTCCTATCACTGTCAGCTTCTGCTCCTTCAGATCAGCAGCAATTGAATCTACTCCTGTTAATCAATATATATATATATAAAGAATAATAATCAAATTATCATTTGACCTATGGTGTATAATTAAATTGAAACTATTGAAGGTATTGCTTAAGATATGAATATTTTTGAAGATTACACAGAGGAATTTATGTAATCCAAAAAAGAAAAAGAAAAATAACAAAAAAACAAAAAGAGTATGCAAACTGAATATGTTTGTTGAATACTATACCATAAATATCAGCTGCAGCTTCAAAAGCTTTCTGCTTTGTCTTTTCATCAGTCATGGTCATGACCTTCAGCACCACCTTCTGCTAATAAATTCCAAACAAAAATAAAAGACAAGAATTATGAATTATATATATATATATATATATATATATATATATATATATATATATATATATTCTTATATCACTTCATGAAAGTAATAGCAACTTCAAATGACCTGTAAATTGTTAAAACTGTACCTGTGCCATTAGAAGAGGAAGCTAATTAATGTGAACTATAAAAACAGGAGAGGAGATGAACGAAGCTCAGAGATCTTGTGGCATTTTATATGGGGGGTGGGATGTGAGGTATATATATCCAGTGGAATATGATTGTTTCATAAGAGAAAGAAAGGTTTGATTTGATTTTTTTAAGCTACTAATTTGGTGGCTTGTCTTCTCTTTAGAAAGAAAAAAAGGAGGGTGAACTAAGTTTGAAAAATATATCTACAGTTCAAATTCAATGGGCTAAATATACGTAGTAATTTGCAAGGCAATTAATATGGTCAAGTTGACTATTCAAATCTTTGAAAAGGTTGGTTTTGCCTTCAAAAGTACATTTGCATATAAAATAAAGCAGATATTGAATAACCACCACTAGCAAAGACTCTGCAGTTTTACCAGCACCAAAATCTTGTAAAAGTTTGAATTTCTAAGTGAAAACATCACAATTGTCTCACTACGAGATTCTTATGCAAAGTCTAAAAGTATCAATTCACGCTTTAGAGAAAAATTTATTCAAAATTTTTATTAAATTTATTTTAATTTTAATTACAAGACTTGAATTCAGTGTTTGAATTAAGAAAAAAAAAAATTAGTGTTTCTGAAAATAATATTATAGTGGTTAAAATTGTTGAAGTATAATTCAGTAATTATGGTACTAACGGGCAAATGGCCTAGCGTTATTAGGTTATTACTTTCCAAATAAAGGTCAAGGGTTCAAGCCTTAGATGCATGTGTGTGTGAACACTAACTAAGGATAAAAATTATGATGGTATCAACATACCAATGACCTAACCGTATTCGGTTAAGTTGAAAATATTGATAATTTGTGCAGTAGTACAACTTATATGACTTTGAAATAATTGGCGTGGACTAAATGAAATTAATAGCATATAATATACATGCACTAGTTTCTTTAAAAAATATTTTTTTTATATATACAAGCACTAGTTTCTTTAAAAAATATTTTTTGTGCTTCCTAATAAATTAAACGTGAATTTTAATTTTTTTGGCTCTACCCTAGTAATATAATTATGTTCATGCAATTTACACTTCTAATACCATGACAGCAAAGCAAATGTATTAAATTAGGTAGATGTCAATGAAATTGCAATTATTCACAACAATAATTTCTTATAAAAAAGTTATAGCTATTAGAAGAATCCAGCTAGCTTGTTAAGCGTGATCAAGAAATATATTCTAATTTATTAGTATTTGGGACAAGCTAAGCATAAGAAATCCTCAATAATTCTGTATTAATGAATTAACTTTTACGCAACCTAAACCGATGATGCTATCAAGAGTACTCTACTTTACTCTCAAAATTTACTATTATTTATGTTTTTATTTATTTATTTCGGATAAATACTTAATCACATGATCCTACCCTAAAAACAAAGCAACAGTGTCAGCCAGTGAATTCTTTCTTGCTGTAATTTTTTCTTCTTTATTTTTTATGTCTATATCATAAGGTCCAAGTTAGGAATCATATTGATCAAAGTGATCTAATATTGAAAATAAACTGCAAATAGTTATTTTCTTCACCGTTTAAGTTGAAAAATATAACAAAACTAATTTTTACAAACCTTATAGAGAGATTCAGCATTCAAGTCTGGCTACAGCAATGTTATAAATGTGTGCAGGTTTGGTTGAATTTTTGGAAAATAAATATAAATAAATAATAAAAATTTGCAAACTATTTGTACCAATCTAGGAAGCAAGGATACTTTCCCGGCGGCACCATGGTGGTATCGGACACGTGTCAAGTCCCGATACTCCTCGGATACGCCCGGACACTTGTCCGATACTCCGTAAAGTATCCGATTTTTTTAAATAAAATTTTAATTTTCAGATACGGCTGGGATACGACTAAGATACACAGGGATATGCCTTGGATACTTTTGGGATATGGTAGGGTTTATATTCTAATATTTAAAAAGTTGTAGGTTAAAAATGGGTCAAGTTATGGCATCTGGTGCACAAGCAAACTTGTACACACAGTCGGGATCTTCAAATTACACTGCCAAGACTGGTACACAAGCACACTTGTACACAGTCAAAATCTTCAAATCACACCTTCGGGACTGGTGCACAAGCGAACTTGTACAATAAGTCGGGATCTTCAAATCACGTCTTCGGGACTGGTGCACAAGCGAATTTGTACACTAAGTCGGGATATTCAACTCACATGCCTTCGAGACTAGTGCAGAAACATAATTGTATGCACAGTTGGATTTTGGTGGAGCTTCAACTTGAGATCTTCATCCAAATTGAATAGCCTTCATCATTTTCACTTCACCCATGTATTCGTTATAAAAATTTGTGTTTGAGTGGTTGCATTTGGCCGTGTGAAAGATACCATCGTGCTCTCTATGTATCATTGGGTTGTCCAGGACACCAAATGGGGATATAAAAGGTGATCCGAGAACCATCTATTTGGTACACCCCACTCTTACTCGAGTTCAGCTTCATCAAACCATCTGCTAAGATCAAGAAGATTGAAGTCGTAGAGAATTGTCCAGATTCAATTGCCAGAAGCGATGATTACCATAATGGAATTTGAGCCAAGGTAGAGATTGTTAGGAATTATGTCTCAAATTTCCATTATTATTAGTTTCTATTTTAGAGTGTATTTTTTATGGTAATTTCTTATAAAGACATGAATTGGGCTCTAAAAAATTGTAATCTTTGTCCACAAAGGAATTGGGTATGTGACTTTATAAATAGACACTTAGGCTATTGTTGAGAATTATGAGTTAAGAGGGATGTAGCCTCATGAGGGAGTACGTTGATGGTAGGGGTGAGTTACGGGTTTGGTAGAGTGAACACTGATGGCGAGAGGGAATCTCGTGGAGTACACGGAGAACTCGGTTAAGAGTTTGTGTGCATGGTCCGATGTTTAAATTCTCTACTATTGTAATATTTCTACATATATAGTGAATCTCTTCTCATCTGTGGATGTAACCCTGATTTTGGGTGAACCACGTATATATCTTATGTTTTGGTTTGAATCTTGTTGTTTTCTTTCTTTCTTTTGCTTCTGTTGTGCCCAACAACTGGTATCAGAGCCAAAGGTGAAGGAGATCCAGAAAACACAAGAAGTCTCAACATGTGCTACAATGGGCTTCAGTTGTAGGTGGAGTAAATCGACTTAGTTACATGGCATGGAGCTTAAATAGTCGAGGTGGAGCCTTGGGGTTTTGATTAATTGAGCAACGTATAGTGGGGATAATCTGAGTTCTATAATAAGATCGAGAAGATTGAAGTCGTAGAGAATTGTCCAGATTCAATTGCCAGAAGCGATGATTACCGTAATGGAATTTGAGCCAAGGTAGAGATTGTTAAAAATTATGTCTCAAATTTTCATTATTATTAGTTTCTATTTTAGAGTGTATTTTTTATGGTAATTTCTTATAAAGACGTGAATTGGGCTCTAAGAAATTGTAATCCTTGTCCACAAAGGAATTGGGTATGTGACTCTATAAATAGACACTTAGGCTATTGTTGAGAGTTATGAGTTGAGAGAGATGTAGCCTTATGAGGGAGTACGTTGATGGTAGGGGTGAGTTACAGGTTTGGTAGAGTGAGCACTAATGGCGAGAGGGAGTCTCGTGGAGTACACGGAGAACTCGGTCAAGAGTTTGTGTGCATGGTCCTGTGTTGAAATTCTCTACTATTGTAATATTTCTACATATATAGTAAATCTCTTATCATCCGTGAATGTAACCCTGATTTTAGGTGAACCACGTATATGTATTGTGTTTTGGTTTGAATCTTGTTGTTTTCTTTCTTTCTTTTGCTTCCGCTGTGCCCCAACAACTATCTGTGCGGGTAGTATAACCTCTTGGAGTCTGTTCTTGCTCTCGCAAAGGCTTGCTGGTTGATCTGTGGCTGATGAAGACGTTCTTGCTGCGAGTGTTGACAACGCTGTCTGAGTTAGTGGTAAAACCTCTTTGCATCTGTTGTTGCTCTCTGGGTTGATTCGTGCTACGGTTAGTAATGACGTTGTCTCTGCTAGTGTTATAACCTCTCAGAGTTTGTTGTTGGCTTCTCAATGACTTGCTGACTGATTGGCGGCTGATGACGACGATCTTGACTTTGTGATTTCCATTACAACATTTTTTTTTAGCTTCAAAGAACGGATTTGAGTAACGATTGATTTCCACTACAACATTTTTCTTTTGCTAATGGTTATAAGTGATTTCGACTGCTGCTAAAGGAGTTCACCGTGGAAAACACATCCTTCTCCCGGTGACCAACAAGATGCAGAGTAGTATTTCGTCTTAGAGACAATGATTTGTCATTGGAGGTCATTTCGATACTGTCACTTACTCCTTCTCCATTGAAACTTGGGTTATAGTTTGTGAGGTTTTGAAATTATGAAAATGGCCCTGCCATCATAATACTTGCTCATTTGTTTATCCAAAAAATAAAAAAAAGTTTCCAGCGAAACTTATGGGTCTAAAGGGACAAGTAAAAATGTGTTCTAATGGAACAATGGGTCTTAAAAGGACAAATAAAGATGTGTTCAAATGGAACAATGGGTCCCAAAGGGACAAATAAAAATGAATTCCAACAGAACAATAGGTCCCAAAAGAACTAGTAAAGATGTGTTCCAACAGAATAATGGGTCCAAAGGACTAGTAAAGATGCATTCCAACGAAATAATGGGTCCTGCAAGGACAAATAAAGATGTGTTCTAACGGAACAATGGATCCAGAAGAGACAAATATAAATGAATTCCAACAGAACAATGGGTCCCAAAGGAACTAGTAAAGATGCCTTCCAACAGAATAATGGGTCCAAAGGACTAGTAAAGATGTGTTCCAACGAAATAATAGGTCCTATAAAGACAAGCAAAGATGTATTCCAACGGAACAATGGGTCCCGAATGGACAAATAAAAATGCATTCCAACAGAACAATGGGTCCCAAAGGGACTAATAAAGATGCGGTCCAACGGAACAAGGGGTCCAAAGGACTAGTAAAGATGCATTCCAATAGAACAATGGATCCAAAGGGACTAATAAAGATGCATTCAAATGAAACAACGAGTTCCAATGAAACAATGAGTGACAGAGCGGTAAGTGCATATGTGTTCCAAAGGAACAATGGGTCCCGGAGGGATAAGTGAAGATGTGTTCCAAAGGAACAATGGATACCAGAGAGACAAAATATATATATATATATATATAGAAGAAGAAGTGAACGATATCAGAGAATCCCATGGTT